ACTAGAAGGCGTATAACCCTAATTGTCATTCATTAGTAAGATAAACGCTTAACCAAGAAGGTATCCATTACACTTGAACGTGGTATGCGTAAAATACAGGTGGACCGGAAAGTATGTCACCCCATTGTCAAAGAGTGAAGGCTTCCTTTTTGTACGCATGTCACGTTTACATGTGTTTGTCTCTTTGTTTTGAATTTGCCCCGCCAGCCTCCTTTCTAGGTTAGACTGTCTTCAGACTGGCAGATCCCTTCGATCCATGATACTTGTAGCTGTTCACAATCCAAACTATCGACATCAAACTGGTGCACAATTTTCCTAGCCTCCTTCGCAGACTTGTTGGGCCTCGGCGTTATGTTATTTTTTTCTGTGAGCGACGGGAGTAATATGCCGCCGCGAGGGACGATTTGCTGCCGAGGGAGTTTTTGCCGCGGAGAGAAGGATTCGCGCTCCACCACAGAAAAAATAACGCCGACGCCCAACAAGTCTGAAAAGGACGCTATAATTTTGCACTGATCCTAAAACTGGCCCAAAATGGCAACAAGATAACGATAACCTATTACCTTTAAGGTACCCAAAGGGATTTCAGGGCAGTAAAACTGGATTTTTGAAATCAATTTTCTTGTCATCTTTTAAACGTAGTAAGGCCATGTTGATTTGATTATATGGATGACATCCTCAGGGAACCCCAAAACTGATGCGCGCGTGCGAATAAAAAAAAGTTTTGCAAAAAAAAAAAGTTGCTTTCACTATGAAATCTACGTGGTCATCAAGGTTGAACAAATGGCACAGAATATGTTATGGCGAATAATCTACTCTTCGAATTCATTTCTTTACATTTTTTTTCCTTTGATTTTGGCATTCTACGATATTGGTATCGTTTCTAAATGTTTTCCTTGCAACTCATGGTATATTTTTGCTCATTTAGCAACTGTTTTGCACGATTTACAGTATGGTTGAAAACTTTTTTTTTTTTGGAAACGGCCGAAAATTCATGCGCGCGTGGATGTCATCCATATAATCAAATCAACATGGCCTAAGTTAAATCAAATCTATCCCATGGGCATAGTATACTGAAATCTGTGAGGCAAAAATGCGATGTCGCTGACGGAAAACGGTTGCTAGTTTTGGGGGTTATTACAAACGCTTGTACTGTATAAAATGATTACAAAAAATGTAAATGTAAATGTATTAAGAAATGACAGTAAATGTCAATATTAGACAGATTTCCTCATCCAGAATATTTTGTTTTGCCGGAGTATATTTCTGAAAAACATGTACCCTGAAAATTGCACTGGATACCTTTAAGAGAAGAAAATAAGTCAAATGCTCGTTCATTTGCACTTTTATGACCGTCCCTCTACACGTGAAGTTTGTAAAGAAATCCAATGAACCGTGAAGGTAATGGCATCTCTGAAGGACGAACTTAATGTCAACTCTGAATACGAGGAAGGTCGCGGTTCAATGACCAAAGAATGTCTAAACAAAACCCTTTCAATGCTTATCACGCAAAATATCGCTATGTAAAAATGACCGTCCTGTATGCATAGTCTCTACCAGGCTTCGGGAGACGGCTGGAAGGAGTAGAAATTGGCCAAATAGAGATTTAGAAATAACATGCCAGGGGAGCTGGTCCGCTACAGAGTACAAAATGCGGCACCCGAAATGTATTCTCTAGCAGACCAACTCCCCTGGCATGTTATCTCACTATTATATATATTTGGCCAATTTCTACTCTTTCCAGCCGCCTCCCGAACCCTGGTAGAGGCTACTGTATGCAAACAGTAGGTCCAAAAGAAGGCTTAGAATATAATCATCTTATAAGCCGATGCTCCATCATATGTGCCCCTTGGGTGTCAGATTTGATCCTTCCATGGCAGAATACATTCATCATAATTTGAATAGAATGAGGACCAATGCCATTTTGTAATAGAATGTCGATTGTATAGCAAAGAGAGAAATGAACTGTATAGGTTTGTACAAAATCCGTTTCCCTACTTCATACACTTGGGCACTGTATAAAAATGCATACTCCTAATTCAACTAAACCTGCAATCCAAAAACATATCTACCTCTACTATAACTGAAATGCTAGGAGAAGTTGAATTTTTATCTAATAATACTTTTATTTTGTATTTGTTAACTGTATCTAGCCATCGTGTTTTTCTGTGACCTGTACTTAGCCCAGTGTGACAAAAACGTGCAATAAAGGTGGTCATTCATTCATTCTTTTACACTGTGATATCTAGTAGTCTCTTGGGACGAATCACATCTACATAATCGCTCCCAAACCAGACATATACAAAATAGCCACATTATGAGAACCACGCACTCACTGGTTCACTGATTCTAAAATAAAGTAATTGCGTTTGCGTCGTCTTCCAGCGCAGCTATGTAAAGCTAATGAGACAAGTGAGTACTACATATCTGAACTAGAAAGGTAACATTTGCAAAGCAAATACGTAATGTTTCCCTTCATCTGGACTAGCCCAACAAACTACTGCACTGTTTATTCTTACTAAAAGGCAAATACAGTCATATGTATGGTGATAAGGCTTTGCAACTCTGTTCTGTAACTCAACACCACAGGGTGCTGCTACAGCTCAAATTACCATGGTGACAGACCATTGGTACAGGTCATTGACTTTATTTTTTTGGATAAGAAGAAAGAAGAAGAAATTGAGCAAAATCAATATGTTTTCCTTCTGCGAATGTAAACATGATTAGCAACAAATAGTTAGTTTGTCCTAGCTGTGGCAATAGTACTATAATCGTGTCTGATGAATAGAATGTTTGAGATTCTAGCCCGGATGAGTGTATATATAATCCCCAAATCACCGGAGACGCAAACTGTGTGATCCGATTGCAGGGATTATAACTAATCCTATCAAAGGCTAATCTTATTCTTAAGAAACGTTTTCCTGTTTCAAGATTGATACATTAAGGCCATGTTGATTTGATTATATGGATGACATCTGCGCGCATGAATTTTCGTCCGTTTCCAAAAAAGTGTTTGACCATACTGTAAATCGTACAAAGTAGCTGTAAAATGAGCAAATACATGCCGTAAATTGAAAGAAAAATATTGGTAAACGATACTTATATGGCAGAATGCCTACATTCATTCCATAGAACAAGACGAAAATGTGAAGGAATGAAAATGAAGAGTCTGTTATGTACCATGCCAATAAGATATTACTCTGCGTGTTCAGTCATTTATTCAACCTTCATGACCACCTAGATGTCACAATGAAGGCAACTTTTTTATGCCAAACATTTTTTATTCGCACGCTCGCATCAGTTTTGGGGTTCCCTAGAGGATGTCATCCATGTAATCAAATCAATATGGCCTAATTGGGCATCGGGTTGGCATAGGCGAACCATTGGTGCTTGGCGTGAAACTATAATTCTTTCGTAAAATGCAGACATTCCGATCCTATTACTAGTACCAGAAACGTTAAGTGATTTGTTTTGTATGTCTTCCTTCAGAAATGTCCACTGAAGCCAACAATTCAGGTGTGTCAGTCGCCGGATCTGTGACAAATACAACTTTTCAGTCATCACAAACCTACACAACGTTAGATACAACAACAGCGCCGCCTGTAGGAGGGAATATAACTGCAGCGTCAACATCAACACAAGTCAGGTCGTCTGCAAATACGTCATCCTCACCTGTTTCGGAGGCAACTGTGTCCTCATTGGTTAATTTGTCATCGGTGTCGTCATTGGCTAATTCGTTAGCTACGTCATCGGTGTCGTCATTGGCTACTTCGTTAGCTACGTCATCACTTCACAATGTCACGAGTGATTACGTCACTACATCGTTACCAACCAGGAAACAATCCACGTCTAATGTATCTACCCCACCTACCGTGACAATCAATACTGCAAGCGTGTTATTGTCCACCCTGACAGGGTCTATCACAAATTCTTCGAGCACGCGTTCAGAAAATTCAAGCAAAACATCACTGTCAGCGACGTCTATACCACAGACCACACCCACTCTAGTGTTGTCCTCTACGTTAGAAACGAAATTGTCCACACTGACAGGGTCTGTCACTAACTCTTCGAACACGAGTTCTGAAGATTTAAACAATACATCAACATCACTATCAGGGACGTCATCTATGCACCCGACTACGCACATTCCAGTACCGTCTTCTACATCAGAAACATTGACTGCACCTTCGGTGAATGGAAGTAAGGTGTCTCCAATTCTCAATACCACGACAATAGCACAAATCACTGTTAACAGCACAGAATATACTCAACCTTCAACTGTGGTGGGCAACTCTACAATGAATACGCCAAGAGCATCGCCCATAACCAGAACAGTAACCGGAACGCCGTTTCAAGAAACCTCTGGTACATCAGAGATCTCAACAGCTTGGAATTCAACAACCAATGCCACTGTATCGTCTATAGCGTCCACTTCTAATACTTCGGTAGCAGCAACTAATGCACAGACAACGGTTGCGAACACAACCACAACTAGTACAACCCTTACACCACCAATTCTTGATATAACTACCGGTGCGACATCTCCAATTTCCCCTTCTGTGATCTCAAAGAATACAGCACGTCCCGATACAACTACAAGCCCTGTTGCGACCTCACCCAATATCACTGTCACATCTTACACAAATACAACAGCAAGGAACGATACTACGATATATTCTTCAACAACGGTGCCTAAACCAACAGAATCTACGGCCTCACCTTCAAAAGTAACAACACTGCAAGTGACAACTAGTACAGGTCTCAGTGAAAACTCATCTGCGTCGTCATCATCGAATTCAACAGTGACAGTGGTGACAACATATACGGCAGGAGAAACTTCTCCGGAATTTTCCCAAACAACAACAACCTCTCTTACAAGGATATCGTCAGAGACTGAACATACTTCGTCAGTTACAACGTCCGAAACAACAGCATTGACATCGATTTCAATGGACACGGTAACAACGACACAGTCCAACGCCATGACATCTCAAACCCCTAAGGTTACAACTGTACCACCCGTAACAACTGCACCACCTACAACAACTATACCAGCTGCAACAACTGTACCACCTACAACAACTGCATCACCCGTAATAACTGTACCACCTACAACTGTATCACCTACAACTGTACCACCCGTAACAACTGCACCACCTACAACAACTGTACCACCTACAACAACTGTACCAGCTACAACAACTGCACCACCTACAACAACTGTACCAGCTACAACAACTGTACCAGCTACAACAACTGTACCAGCTACAACAACTGTACCAGCTACAACAACTGTACCAGATACAACAACTGTACCACCTACAACAACTGCATCACCCGTAATAACTGTACCACCTACAACAACTATACCAGCTGCAACAACTGTACCACCTACAACAACTGCATCACCCGTAATAGCTGTACCACCTACAACTGTATCACCTACAACAACTGTACCATCTACAACTGTACCACCTACAACAACTGTACCACCTACAACAACTGTACCACCTACAACAACTGTACCACCTACAACAACTGTACCACCTACAACTATACCACCTACAACTATACCACCTACAACAACAGCACAATCTACAACTGTACCACCTACAACAACTGTACCACCTACAACTATACCACCTACAACTATGCCACCTACAACTGTACCACCTACAACAACTGCATCACCCGTAATACCTGTACTACCTACAACTGTACCACCTACAACAACTGTACCACCTACAACAACTGTACCACCTACAACAACTGTACCACCTACAACAACTGTACCACCTACAACAACTGTACCACCTACAACTGTACCACCTACAACTGTACCACCTACAACTATACCACCTACAACAACAGCACAATCTACAACTGTACCACCTACAACTATACCACCTACAACTACTTACCACCTACAAAAACAGCACAATCTACAACTGTACCACCTACAACAACTGTACCACCTACAAAAACAGCACAATCTACAACTGTACCACCTACAACAACTGTACCACCTACAACTATACCACGTACAACTATGCCACCTACAACTGTACCACCTACAACAACAGTACCACCTACAAAAACAGCACAATCTACAACTGTACCACCTACAACAACTGTACCACCTACAACTGTACCACCTACAACAGTACCACCTACAACAACTGTACCACCTACAACAACTTCCAAAATAGCATCGTCAACAACACAGCAAACAACACCGTCTGTTCTAGTCAGCACGTTGATGACTACACCACCGACAACTCAAACTGGTATAAAATCTACAACGCAAATCTTCACAACAAGGAATACACCAACAACAACATCACAATCAACAACGCCTCCTACTTCGACCATACAGCCTTCAACCATGACAAAGATGGCATCAACAAACACGACAACGTCACAAACTCCAACATCTACAACAGCGTCGACTCTATTGACAACAGTACCATCGTCCTTAGCAGCAACAACGCCAATGCTGCAGTCTACATCAACTGTCCAACCTACAACACAAGGAATTACTGCAACTACAACACAGCAATGGACAACACTGGTGCTATCCACCACGAGAAAAACAGCGTCAACTGTATTGATAGTCACGCCTACTGCTGATGTTCCTACGTCTATTGTGACAATCACCTTGGAGATTTCGAACTTGAATTTTGATGACTACACTCTAGACGATCCTACCTCGGCCGGTTACACAGAGTTTTCCAGCGATTTCGTCAACAAGGTAAGTGCAGGTTTGTGCGCATCCCAGTAACTTCTGTACACCGACTAAATGTAAGACTGGTAAGAGCAAGATTATGCGGCAATCTACAGTGACTGTAGTAAATGACAGCTTGACATACAAATGTATAACAAAGATTCCACGTTGATCAATGAAATTGTAGAAGTGGAGTGCTATATAACCTTCTCTTTTCTACAGGTGACCCCAATTTACAGCCAGATGTCCGGATTTGTCGCTGTCGAAGTTGTGCGTTTTACGTAAGTATCAATATACCTCCTGTAACGAACTCAGATGTATATTTGTGTCATTCAGGCTGCACACTATATTAGGCTGTTTTGTTGGTGGTATAACTTAGCTACATTTTGGTCACCAAAATACGTTCTCTTGTTGAGATAGAGCCATGAATCATTTGGGCTATTGTTGTTCTCTTTTCCCTGGATTACAGAAAACTTGTCGTTTTTGCTCTGTTTCTTCTTCTTCGTCTTCAAACAAATAATGCCAATGACCAAGACCAGACGTCTGTCACCAAGGTACCTGGTGCTGTAGCAGACACCCTGTGGTGTTGGGTTACATTATGTAGCAGGACAGAGTTGGAGAGGCTGGTCTTTATATATTATATATGACGTACTGCTCTGTGTACGAATAAACGGAGCAGTAATTTCTCACCGTGCGAAAGTTAACATTGTGCAAGTGCTTTGAAAATATTTTCGTTTTAGTCATAATTTATCTTTGTCGTTCTGATGCACAGAAAGGGCAGCATCGTTGCAGAATACAACGTGATATTTAGCACCAATGGACCAGTAAGCTCACAAGAAGTTCTGGATGAAACAAGGAATCAGAAAGATGCCATTGATCAGCAATGGGAAATAAGCGAGAACGCCATACAAATTCTATCAGGTACGAATCATACACAGGTATTAGGGTAAGTTCATTCACATGTGTATCGACATTTGGAATCAAGAAGACTAGTGTAGCGCCATGCGTCTTACAAATGATACCCGATTACCGTGGCCGTTTCTTATATCTAAAATAGGTTGTTTGCTTTTTTTTTACTTCGGGGAAGGAGCTATCCTTCCACGGAAAGGTTTGTTTTGATCTTTGTATGTGTGTTTGCAGCTATAACTTTCATTTTCGATAGTTAGGTTTTGGGGGTCCTGATGATGCGGTTTGTTTGTCTTTTCATTGTATTTGTATTTTCAGGTTTGAAGTAAAATAATGGAACTAACGGGCCCGGGCTTTACAACACTACTTTTTAAAAAGCCTGTATAGTGTATTACAATTGTGATATCACCCAAGTCATGTAGCGTTACTGTTTACGTTGTTATCAATGTGTGCATTTCATACTTCCGGGAGGTTCGGAATGTCAGATTCTTTCCTTGTACACTGTAGTTCGGTGCGACGCCGTGGTGTGTGGGAGTAGTGCGGTTTGTGAGAGAGACGACAGCGGTGACTCCCGGTGTGTCTGTACGCCTGGCTTCTGTCACAACGGAGGGACATGTGCAGTGGTGGCAGGGAAAGGTGCCGTGTGCAGGTAACGTATAGAACAAACGGTCCATAGTTGTAGAGTTCAAGCTATGTTCCAACACTAGAAAGGAAAATAATTTTCGGTCGATCTCTGACTTCTCCGGAAGTGGTGAGTTCCTTTTTTGTGTTGGAACAAAGCTTGAATAATACAACTATGGATTCTACCGACACAGATGAGCTTTCATTCGAACAAACTGTCCTTTTTGCTACAAGGCCCCCGGCATTTATTTGCTAAGTCACACGTGGAGTGGTTGGGTATCGGACATATTACAGTATGAATGAAAACCAAGCAGATGTCAGGAGAGAAACACTGGCCTAATGAAACAAACAGTGTGTGGCCGCTAATTAACTCTTAGAAAATATCTCTTCTCTGATAGAAAGAAATCATGATCGCGTACCTAGGTTCAGAATAATTGCATAAGTCACCAAGGATACCAATTATTTGAGTCCCACATCGTCATCACACTCACATGGCTAATGCTGACATACGCACAGCGCCGTCCTTGGTGCTGAAAGTTATGTCATCTGATTTCCAACCAAAATTGTTACGTTTCTTAACTGCCAGTTTCAGTCACAGATATTGAGAAGGCGGTTTGTGACAGAATTCGAAACGGGTAGTTAGCAGAAAAATGAAGATTTTTCCTCCCAACATCTGAATGGATATTTCACGTCAAGCCTTTGCCAATATTTCATGTCTATCTGTATAGCCGGTATAACCGCCCTTCTGCGTAACACACCAGATTCGCAGGCACACAGCTCGGCGGCCGCTGGCTACATTACACCGAACGACTTGTAACACCTACCCCTTGAACATCTAACTCTAAACACTGTTTAAGGCTATCTAGTGATAATGCCCCTGCTGTACTTGGTGACAGCAAGTTCCACTCTGCGATAGTTCTAGGAAAGAATGAGTTCTTGAACACCTCAATCCTTGGTTCACAACTCTGGCACTTGAAGGCAAGACTGTTTCTTGTTCTTTTCTGGGCTGTATTAGGTACTCAGTAGTTGGTACGTCTACCAGTTTTTTAGTCATTTTGTACATCATGCATCTGTCTTCCAGTGACACTCACTGTAGGTTTCTTTTCATTTCCGTGACACTAGCACCCCTTTCATGAATGCAAAGAATGTCAATGTCTAGCTAGACGTGCATCTGACAATAAGACTGCTAACGGCTATTCACCAGCAGATGCAGTTGTAAAGCACGAGACTTACACCAGACAGATTTGCAGTTTAATCAATACTTCACGCTGCGTTTTGTCCTTGGTGCTGAACGGCCTTCATACAAAGCATTTGGCCCGGATGGGTTACCCTTTTATGTGTCAGATATGCGTTAACGTTTGGACAATACTATCTTCTATGTGCTGCGTAGCAAAATGCACTGCGACTGTACAATGCATTGCACTTCAACATAACGTTTCGTTTAATGTTGTATTCGCGTATTTAGTAAGGATGAGATTCTGTCTATAGTTTATTAATGTTGTTCACACGTGTCGGGAATTAAGATATCGTCTGCAACGGGCAAATTCTGTTGCAGCGTCGACCAAACAACCAACAAGAACCATCAAAAAGCCGCTGTGTGTTTTGCCAACGTTCTGTCTTATGATATTGCTATAATGTTCACTATCATATTAATAAAGGCACATCGAATAAATTTGTAATAAGTATTATAATATCAAATTCGCAGCGTATCTGTATTTGTGACAGAATGCAGGATAAAAAGAATACTTCATGTTTCTGCATGAAAGAGTAACACATTGATTTCTAATATTTTTTCCAGCTGTTCGTTGCTGTACAGTGGGCCTAACTGTGAGTCGGTCACCTTACTGATAGCGGTTATAGCCGGTACGTGTGCGGCGGCTGTGGCTATTCTACTCGTTTCTATCTACTGCTGCGTCAAGAAGAGAAGAGAGGAGCAGAAATACAGAAAGAGACAGAGACTGCCTCCAGTTGGAAGGTAACGTAACATCTATATGAAATCGTGTTGTATGAAATATGCCATTATTAGGCAACATCCAAGATGGCGCCACTTCCCAGAATGCAAATTTCGTCGGGACCCGTTTCCGTTTTATAAGCGAAAGAACCCGTTGTCATTTGTAACGGTCGATGCCATAACACTGAATGGTCGAAGCCATATCCGAGAGGGGCAAAAATATCTAAAATGTATACAAAAGCAACAATTCAACGCAAATGTACAGTAGCACCGTGCAAATATGTCGTTCAGCAAGTTTTAAAGGCATCCAATGCGATTTCAGGGCAGCAAATCTGGAAATACAACGTATTCGGAATAAGACAATCTTTGTACTATTGACACATACTGTTTCACATTAGCGCATTTGAGTTAGCATTTCATACTTTGGGCACTTAAAACTGCAGAAACAAGCACTAAGATGAGTCCTTTGTTTTCTGCGTGGTACCCTAAAAATCAGCCAAGGGCCCTTCCGGTAACCATTTTCCGTCAGAAATTTTGGAATTTTTGCTGCACGTGGGTTGACATTGGGATAGTGTGGTTTCAACTCAGTATGTAGATAAATGACTGGAATATTGGCTTCCAAAAATTGGGTTTCCAGATCCTAAAAACTGCATTGGATGTCTTTAACGCAGCTGTTTTTTTGGCAACGTCTCAGGGAAGAGCCTAATGGTACAGTATTGTGTGCAGTTTGCATGAATTCTAGGAATGGTACAGGCATTTTGTCCACAGGCATGGAATGTCCACAGGAATGTCTCCCAGCTCTATTTGTCGACATGTCCACATTCCTGGAAACCCTTGGGAAAACATGTCTGCCCCGGATGCCCCAGTTTTTGTAACCCCGGGGCTCGTTCACTATTCACTCGGGGGAGGGGAGGGTACCAAGGCTTCCTCAAAATCATGAAGCCATGGCAGTGCCATGCAAACAATAACCCTAACAGCAACCACCGTCGCCATGGCAATGTATGTTTTCATTACCAGTCTTGGTTACATTTTTACCAACTTTACCACCCTTCAGAGCTAACCCGGCGATGGAGTCTGACTATGACCTGGAGATCCCGTTCCACGAGCGGCCGGCCGTGAAGGAGGTACTGAACCAGCCGTACGACCTGGCCCTGTCCGAGGTACAGAACAACGACACTAACGTCTCGCACCACTACCAGTTCACGCGAGAACAGGAGCAGAAGAGCAAAAACCAGGAGTGGAGGAGCAAGTTGGAGAGGGTGAACTCTAAAAAAGACGTAAGTCTTACGTAATTTTAACAGGTTGGTGAATGATTGAATAGCAAGCAAAGCTGTTTTTTTAGCTGACGTTTTTTTAGCTGACGTTTCGATGATCGTCAAGATGTTGACAATTCACTGCCATTTTGTAGAACATTTTCCTCATCATTTCACACTTAAAGCGTTTAAAATAACCCCAAACAAGCTATATGTGAGGAGTCTCTTATTTTTTTTTTACCAATAATAAATAGCTAGAACCGCCCTATGTTGCAAAATAAGCAACCTACCCTCCTCCTACCTACCTACCTAGTCCCAGCATCCGAGCAAATAAGCAACATTTTCCCGTCAACGACATCGTATTTTAGCCTCACAAATACCAGTATACTACGAATAGGGTTGATTCAACATAAAAAAGACAGAAAATGGACTTTGAAAATCCAGTTTCACTGGTTTTTGGTTGCCTTAAATGACCGGTAGGTGGCACACTTTTGACTTTACTTTATGTTATTTTGTTTCAGTTCCACATCAGGAGAGCGGTGTACAATCCACACGGCCTCAACAACATGTCTGGTCTCAGGAAAAACCCACTCTACCAGTCTGGACGACAATAAACATTGGATCCGAAATATACAATAATATCTATAAATACGAAAATATATTTGAGAAGATATATTTACTCTCTATGCAAATGATAGAGGTCCGGGTATACAATGTCAAAGAATCATTGTTAAGATACGGACTTTCTTCTTTTCGTAGAAAGATACTTTGTGACCTTGCTATCTACTTCGCTTCACCTTTAAATTTAGTATGGCAGATAATATGGGAAACACTTATTTTTGGTAATCAGGTACTGGATATTCTAAGTTCTTATGATAAGTCTATATCATCATTGGCCATATAACAGACTTGAGTATGACCAGCACCAATATTGACATGATTGTTTGTCTAATTTTGAATATTATGAGTCACAAACATGGGGGATTATTAATGACAATTAAAATACAAAGAATATAATGAGATGGTTGATACTTTCTTTTGACTTTTCAGTCGGTGATGATGTCATCAGACGACTTTGCTTATTGACTCCGATCCGAGGCGTATATTGCCATATGAATGAAAACCAAGCAGATTTCTGGAGGGAAAGACTGGTCGAATGAAACAAGAAGTGACGCAATCTTTACCACACGTAACCGCTTGACTTTGACTTATAACCGCTAATAAACTTCCAAAATACCTCCTCTCCGCTAGAAAGAGCTCATGATACATCACAATGTTGCATCTAAGTCTAGTCTTATTAGCATTACTCAAATTCAAATAACAAAAGTGACAGCTCGTATACAATTAATTGAGTCACACATCGTCATGTGCATCACACTCACGCCACCCAATCAGCTGATGTTCCCATCTTGGCCCCCGGCTAGTATTTTTTATGTTTACCTTCGCAGAAGGACAACATATTGTTTTTGCCCAGTTTCTTCTTCTTCCTCTTCTTCTCCAAACAAATAAGGTCAATGACCTGGACCAGCTGTAGACGTCTTTGTCACCATGGTAACCGGTGCTGTAGCAGACACCCAGTGGTGTTGGGTTACATCATGTAGCAGATCAGAGTTGGAGAGGCTGCCCACCGTGCGTATGAATGTACTAATATTTGACTTTGAGTAAGAATAAACAGAGCAGTAGGTTGTTGGGCTAGACCAGGTGAAGGTAAACATAATGCATTTTCTTTGCAAATGTTAACTTCTAGTTTTAAAAAGCATGTCTTGTAATTTCTAGATATCTCATAGTTCCGACATGTAGCCCATGACTGTAACGGTACAGTAATCACTATCGGTGACGACTAGTCTATCGTCGGGGGTGAGCGCCAGTGCCCGCGGGTACTGTATACCGTACGTCTCGGTCGTGATCACGCTGGAAAACTCGCCAACACTGTCGAACATCTGAATCCTCTTGTTGTTACTGTCCGCCACTATGATCTGACCATCACGGTCGGCACAGATCCCTCGAGGAGAGAGAAACTGACCGGTCTGTTTTCCCTTCTGGCCAAACTGCAGCCGAAACTTTCCAGTCGAGTCGTATAGCTTCACGCAATTGTTACCGGAGTCAGAGACCAGGATGTCGCCGATCGCGTTCACGGTAACGTGGTACGGGTAGGAGAGCATGCCCGGCCCGCTGCCTTCCGAGCCGAACTGCGTGCGAAGGGCGCCCGATGCGTCGTGCACGGTCACGCGATGTTTCGCGATGTCTGTTACGATCACCCTACCGTTGTTACCGTCTACAACTACCCCCCACACGTCCTCGAATAAACCCTCTCCGAAGCTGGTCTGAAACGTGCCATCGGCGGCGTAGACTTTGACGGACTGGCCGTCGGCGACGAGAACTTTCCCGTCCGGCCCTACGGCAACTCCCACCGGGTGAGACGGGCACGAAGTAGGCACGGCCGTAGAGAAGTGGCGGAGGTATTGCCCGTAGACGTTAAACACCTGCACGCGTTTGTTGAGGTTTTCCACCACGTAGATGTCCCCGTTGTCAGAAACGGCAACGCCCCAAGGAGAGTTGAGCTCTCCCTCCCCGTCCCCCCTTACACCGAACTGTAGGTCTGTTGGCGGGACAGGAGAAAGAGAGCGAGAGCTTATGTCATCTATCAAATCATCATGAGATGCTACCTGTGACCCCATCCCACCATCTACTGTTTCTGTCACAAGAATAGTTGGTATCTCACTGCTGCGTTCACCCTTTCGTACCACCAGTTGCCCCAGGCGAACAGTGGCCTCGTCTATGGGGCTGGGGTCAAAATTAAACAGCACCTTCTCGCTAACTTGCCCTGCAACATCTGCTTGTTCTAAAGCTTTCTCGACATCCTTCAATACCTGTTCCCGTTCAAGTACTATATCCAGGTCACCCTTCGCTCCCAGGTCTTCCTGTATTTTGTCGTGGATCTGTGATAGTTTTTCGACTGATTTTTCCAGCTCTTCTTTGCGTGATTTTACGTCGCCTTGTTCCTTCATGTAGGCGGCGTCGAGTTCTGACACGATCTCCCCTTGCTGTTTGCGAACCAGCTCTATCAGCTTCTGTGCCGCTGAGTTTACTCCTTTTTCCACGGTGTCTCTCTGCTCTTTCAGCGAGGATTCCAAATCCCTGACGGCGGATAGGACGTCTTTTACCCCCTGGATCTTGCCCTCCATTTTGCGAAGGCGGTTTTTGATCTTGCGGCGTACCGACTGTGCCTTTTCCCTCAGGCGACACATGAAGTGGCCATTGTGGTGTTCTACCAGGCACTCACAGCACACTGGTACGTTACACTGGGCACAAAACAGTTTGGTCTCCTCTCCTGAATGTTGTCTACATTCGTCGAGGACTCCTGTAGATATCTTTGCTGCAAATTCCCTCCGTTTGGTTGAATGTTCAACGTCGTTCTTAGCTTGGCGTTCGCTCGATCTAGAATGTACTGTTTCGCCCTTACGAGGGATGGTCACCCAAACAGGTGTCAACGACCTCTCCCTTTTCACCTCGTCTACCAACCCAACGGTAGAGCGATGGAGCCTTTTATCGAAATTCCCTTCTCTCAGACTTTCCTCAGAAAATTCCGAACTGCGTCGTGAAGACCGAGGGCTGCTCCTCAACACCTTGACTCCGGGATTCTCAGAGAACAGCGAGGAGCTTGCGATGCTATGCCGGCGGCGTTCTTGTGACCTCTGCCGCCTGCTCTCGTCTGATGACCGCGGTAACTCAGGCAGTACAAGTAACGGCGAGCTACTACTACCCTTCTCGGTTAACTGTTCCACCCTGTTCATACTTTATCCTCATTGCTAAACTTCTATAGATATAAGATCAGATAGAAATTGTATCGGCGTACGCGGCGAGGTGGAAATCCTTTATGAGAGTTGCGGTAGGAAAGCCCAGAACAATGGTCTAACCTCCATGGACGCGCCCACACAACAATTGTTCAAGGCTCATATCTTGCACTTCACTGATCCTCAGAGTGCAGGCACAGTGTGCCCTAGGCCTACAAGCCACGGTCAGGGCTCGAAATACCACCTGCATATGCAGATCTGTAGACGTAAAATTGGAGCTGTGCAGGTATATCTGATGTCTACCTGCACCTAACCTGCACTGGTCCATGTACTGGGTATATGCAGGTTGGTGCAGGAAAAATTGGAACTGTGCAGGTATTTCTGATGTCTACCTGCACCTAACCTGCACTGGTCCATGTACTGGGTATATGCAGGTTAGTGCAGGTAAAATTGGAGCTGTGCAGGTATTTCTGATGTCTACCTGCACCTAACCTGCACTGGTCCATGTACTGGGTATATGCAGGTTGGTGCAGGTAAAATTGGAGCTGTGCAGGTATTTCTGATGTCTACCTGCACCTAACCTGCACTGGTCCATGTACTGGGTATATGCAGGTTAGTGCAGGTAAATAGGAGCTATGCAGGTATTTCTGATGTCTACCTGCACCCGCCTACATACTAGGTTTACATATACATGTACATGTGGATTTTTATTTGCATTGACTGTTACCACCTACGTAGTATAAAGAAAATAACGGCAATGGTTTCTGAACAGTTTTAGTATGGTAAAATTCTGAGTGGTGCAGGTAAAATTTGTGTGGTGTGGGTGATTTTCGATGATAGAAAGAAGAAAGAATTTCGAGCCCTGAATACAGTAAAACTACCTGTTCTACCACTGCACCATAACAACCCAGCATTTTAGGCTGCTGACAAATTACATAACTAGATGTGCAAAACAACTATCAGCAATTAGTCGTAAGGGAGCAAGGCGTGAAATTGGGATGATTACATAGTAGCGGCCATACACATACCAAGCAGGACAGTGGATGTAACGTTTAGCATAGCATAGCTCTACCAGACTACTCTCCAAGCAGATTTCTAGACTTAGACTGATTTTGGCATGCTCTTAGGCATTTTTATTGGGCTGTGTTTTGTACTGGTATATTAATTTGAAGCGACAGGGGGAAAAAAAATTAAAACAGGCCTAGGCATCCTATGATAGCCCCAAAATGCTATGGTAGGAGCCATGAAGTCAACATACTAGGCTGGTTTGTAATGAATTTCAAACTTTTAAATCAAACCACTGCATTGATAGATGGAAAAACTGTAAAAACTCTGAAGAGAAAGGATTTCCTCCAACTGTTGGGGCCAAAATATGAGCATTTTGAAGTTGATTCATAGGCTGAAACGTTTTTTTCAATCAGAAAAAACATGAAGCAGGTGAGTCCGTGAACCAAGCAATTAAATTGATGTGGCCTTTGCTACCAACTCTCTGTTGGTTTAGGGACCAACATATAATACTTTATCCAGTAAAATTGCTTGAAAAATACCCACAAGACATCAGAACAATTTGTTAAGTTGGTTCATGATTTATTCATAGTTGTGTACACATACAGCTATTCATGATTATGATCACAATTGTTGCTTCTTCATCAAATATTTATACACTGCATTAAGACATTGTTTTCTGATGAGTAAGGATAAGAACAATTCAATATGGAGGCAAACAAGGGGTATTTGAAAGAAAAAAATTAAGATTCATAATCCTAGGTGACCGTGTGCACATGTGAAAATGTTATCATGGCTGTGTCATGTTATCAAGATTGCATGGCTGTTATTTTCCTAAAAAGACCGTAAATTTCACAATAAATACGTAACAATAAAAGTATACTTAAGTAATACAGGATATTCAGCGAAGTAAATTCTACTAAACGCTGCATGAGTAATAAAAACGAGGCATTTAATGCAGTCTGTCTTGACCTTGACTCACTTAGAGCAACCAATCTATATTTATACTAGTACGAAGAAACAAGTTTAAATTCATGACAAACTAAAACCAAGATACATGTATATATTAGGAGAGCATTTCAAGAATGATTATGTCAATCCTTTTGACTTAAATGGTTGTGAGTCTTAAAAATCTTACCATAGACAGTGATGGCTTTCTCAAGGATAAATACAAGTATATCTAAACTTCTTCACTTGTTTCCCATTGCCACATTTTCTGCTTTGCTAAGATTGTTTGACTGAATTTGATTTTTTGTGTTAGGCCACATTGATTTTATTTCATGGATGACATCCGCTGGTGCATTGATTATTGCCTGTTCTAAAAAAAAGAATCACCTCCTCCGAGGCTCTGGCCTGAGTGCCATCCCCGTAGTCCATGGTAGCTAGCGACAGTAGGGAGTCTACGGTAACTACGGAGGATGGCACCCAGGCTGCCGAGGCTCCACAAATCTAAGGAACTCAGTATAGTGCTGACTCATAAATGTAAATGTTGCAAAAGCATGTGCCAGCTTGTTGTAAAAGTCGCTACAGGTACAACACAAAATGTATACTGCAAATCCACCATACCAGTTTTGTATTCCTGTGGTTTTAGCAGCTTTTTGTTTGGCTGGAATTTTTTTTATTCGCCCGCGCGCACTTGTTTGGGGGTCTTCAGAGGATGTCACCCATAAAAGTAAGTCATTGTGGCATTATGTCTGAAGAAACTATTAGCTGGTGCGCTACAACAAAGAGCAGTTCTGCAGGCAAAACAGATACAGATAACAATGACAATGCACAGAAAGATTTTTACTTATGGAAACATTATGGCAAAATGAGGACACATCTTACTGATATTAAAAGATACATGTAGATACTTCTCATATTCTGGCAGTGTTAATGTCCTGGCAATGACCTTGCCATAAAATGTAGTATAGTGTTTCCTTAGTTAATAACTAACTTGTGAGACCATTGACATAGTATTACTAAGTTGCATTCTATATTTTCGAAAGTTTTTCTAAACCAAACAAAAAATTCTCTACTGTACACAAGCCAACATGCCGACAGAACGTACATACTGCGCCTGTGCAAAATGGTTTCACGGTTTTCGTCGGATGCTTGGTTGCATCAGAGTTTTGTCAAGTCCGGATTCAAGTCCAGAGGTTTAGGTTCAGTTCCTGACTTGCAAGTTCAGACCTACACCCATGGCATATACAAAATTGCATGTTGGCAACCTTGCAATGTTGTCTGGGCAAAACTGTGGCCACATACTAGTAACATGGAGGCTGACACTTGACAATGCCCTATGGCAAAGTTTTCTTCATTTTGCGGCACAGATTTTGCAATCTATGGATGGTTTTAGGTGGTTGGAACAAAAAGGGGCATGTGACATGTTTTTATTTTGTAATAAGTCTGCAACTGGTTCTTGCCTTTTAGGCTTTTTTGGACTTGAACCTAATAAACAAGTCCGGAACCGGTCCAGCAAACCGGTACACAGCACTACGTCAGGTCTAACAGTGTTTTATTGCACTCCACATGTTCTAATATCTGTGCTGCTGGCCGTACGATGTTGTGTTTGTGGGGTGAGTGGATGACCCCGAGGACTGATATCCCATAGTGCCTTGGTTCTGCCCAGAATGGCCCGGTCCCTGGTTCCCTTGGTAATTTCGCTGCAGGCGAAAAATCGACAAAAGTCAGATACAAAACCAACAGTGTCTATTCTTAACTGAAAAAAATTGTGGCAAAGTCTTCAAAATATTAGGGTGGGCAGTGTCCTGATATGTATGTTTTGGAGTAATGGAATCGAATACTTGAGATGAAAATCATTTTGGCTCCCAAATACGCTCCAAGCACTGCTGACCTAATCCCAAACACCAGCCAAGCATAGCTGAACGTCCTGTCCACATCCGAATGTTATAAACATTTTGAAACATTCGGATGGTGCAGCCAAACAGTAGCCGACCTTCGCTGAACACTTGCTCCTGACCTAACCATGGTTGGGGGCAGTTCAGCAGTGTTCAGGAGGCCATATTCGGTTATGTGTACTCCTTTGTGGCCATGGACCAACTCCCCAATATTCTATTTGGCCAATTACAGATACACGAAAGTGCACAGTATGTGCACGCAAATGGCTAGGGGATGAAATACACGAATGATCCAAGCTCCATGTGGAGAAGAATCTCATGCCGTGTATTTCTTCATTTACTATTCTATTTGGCCAATTGCAGATACATTGTACACGAAAGTGCATACTATGTGCACGCATATGGCTAGGGGATGAAATACACAAACGATCCAACCTCAGTGTGTATAAGAATCTCACGCCGTGCATTTCTTAATTTTCGCTACCCCATGTATACCTGCTAATCCGGAACACTAACCTGGTACTCAGATCCAGAGAAGTTTCCGGAGCTGGTGGTTGTGGGAGGGGCTATCCTGACCCGCTTGGCCGGAGGGGCGTGGCTCCCCGAGCCCCCTTGGTCCTGCGCAGCTGTCTGCTGTAGTAGGAGCGAATCGGGACAATGAAGGACATTTGCAAAATGATGATAACACAGGGGAGCTGCACTGTGGACTGTCATACACAAGCAAGCAGCAAGGGGGTACTGCTGGACAGTGGGGCTGCTTGTCTGCAGTTTGAACCTTTGGTTGTGAACGTTTAATGCTGCAGTAAGGATGTGGAGCCATCTCACAAATCGTATGTCTTAATTTTTTTTATTTCATAACTGAAAACAATTACATGTATACAATTTTAATTTTTATATACACTCCCCTTGTCACTAATTGTGAAAATGTGCTGATTTGGTGATTATGGTTGGCTACAATTGATTGTTTTGATGTCTGTGAAATGCTTTATTAATGTTTTTGACAAATCAAATTAAAAATTCTCCAAACTGTCAGCAATATAACGAAATACAAAATTTGACAATTCAGTTTCAAACATACAGAAAAATGACACCATTTGCATGGATTATATATTATATGATTGATTAAAAAGACCCAATTTGCATCAAGCGGGCACAAAAATTGCATATGCACACAAGCATACAAAAACTGTGTGTATTGAATTTTTCTTTTATGTTCTCTTAAATCGGCCTGTTTTGACGTACGTCAAGACCATACGAATCTTGAAAAAAGGGGGGAGTAGTGTAACAGGGGGGGGGTTTATAGGCGCTACCAACTGACCCGGCCGATCGGTCGACCTTTTAGCCGAGTGGTTTGGGCGTCAGGATTTAAAGCTCGTGCCCGGGAGGTCGTGGGTTCGAACCCCGGCCCGGGACCAGGGGTTTTTACCTGTTTCTACTCGCTCCTTCTGTTTCTTACAACATCAAACATCACAACCAAAGGGTCATCTTTGTTATACATGTGGAAAATTGTCATTCTCAAGAACAATGGAAGTAAAGGCCACAGAAATAAACATCATCAAAACATCCTCCTCGATATAGAATGGAAAGCAAAACCTCTGACTACACTACTTGCTTAGTCTAATTCATTCCAACTGCTGTTAGTGTTATTCTAACTTAGAGGTTGGTCAAAAGGCTGATGAAACACACTGAAGTATACAAACTAACCAATTTAACATTTACTGTACTTGAATTGTAATTCATATTATGTGTATTCAGTTATTATATTTCCATTGACCTTACTATGGCCTAGGAAGTCAAAGGACTTTTAAAAACATTTTTAAGAATGTTACGTATCTGTCTGTATGTGTGAAATATATCTGTCTTAGTTACTAACTTTCTTCACTACTCTAAGATGATTTTCAATTTGACTTAAAAACAGAGACTGTCCTCATTCTTAACATTGTATAAAAAAATTCTCAAGTTAAAAAAATAGTTTTCAATGATTTGCACGAAAGCTCATCTGTTTTTGTTTATTACATACTGACGTTTGATACTTAAGATCAACACAGTAAAAATTTTAATAATTTATCGATTTCATTCAAAAACTAAGGTGCATTTCATAGAATAGAAAAGTGTTTTTAAAACTATGTGTTAAACTACTTTTAACTTCATCTAATGATAGAAAATGTAAAAACAAACAAGTTTCCAACCTTCTGTAAAATGTTCTGATATACATTTTGCTGAAATGCAAACTTAAGATTTACTGTTTTACTATCAAGACGGAAAAATTTTATATATGGCCAGTAAAAATGATTGGACAGAGTAATAAATTTGCAATGGTATTAAAAAAACTGCTTTGTTTCCTATTCCTACTAACAACACATTTACAGAACAAAGCTAAGATTTTACAACTGTAGTGAACAACAATAGGACTCCAAGATTTCATTCTCATCATTCTTGTCGCTAAACCAGAATAAAGAAGGTGTACGTGGACAGGAGTCCTGTGAAGAAGTTGTCTCTGTTACCTTGAATGACGAGATGGCTTGCTTCTGAGCGAGGGTTGCTGTAACTCTCTACAATGATGTAGCACAGAAAAGAAGGGGCACCAACAATTTTTTAAACTCGATTGAGAGACGGTGGGTATTGAACAGGGCAGCAAGCTGCTCCAATTTTGTGCAGTCAAACAGCAAAACAACAATACTGTAGTGGTTGCCCCAAGAAAGCGTTGTTGTTTTTTTGTCTTGCTCTGGAGTATCAGAATGGCTTCTCTGATCTCCTTGTTTGCTACAAGATGTGTGTTGGACAGTGTATTTGCCTCCAGTCAAGTTACATGGACCAGAGTTGCACAAAGGAACAATTGTGGCCTTACTTCCACTAAAAATCAACATGTACAATATAGAGAGAAACATTCAATCACACATTCTATACCTAAACAATAGCTAGCACAATCTCTACCAAAACTGCAGTATCTATCATAAAATAAACAGTAGTAAGTATGAAAAAAAGGTTAACACAACAAAGAAGGGCCATGCCTTGCTATGGAAAGAAGAATTTGTATTTTTTTTTTTTAATTTAATTTTACGTTGAGCAAACGATTCTCTCTTTTTGTAGTTCTACAGTGCTTGGGTGAGGTGCAAAGTCACAAGAATAGCACAGGATGGTTCAAAGCGGAATTTTAGAGACTCTGAAAAGATGCAGCACAGTGAAGCTGATAAATGCACGTACAGAAAAGGATGGGATCTGGCTCCCGTTGTGATGTAATGGTTTGTTTACCTGGAAGTCCCGGAAGCCTTGCTTCTGAGGAAGTGCAGTAACTCTCTACAATATCGTAGCAACAAGAGAGAAGGGGGCACCAAAATTTCATGGCAGCTGAGGAAAAGGGCATCTCAAAAAAGGTGGTCTAAATCTATGCAGCAAGATGACATGACTGTTACACAGAAACCAGCACAGAAATGGTTGTTGCAAAGCTTGTTGTAAACAATCTTTTTTCGTGTGTGTTTTCACAATATTGCTGCATCTTCTGGTTCTAAACTACCAAAGCCAGTCAATAGAAGATCAGAATTTTGAGTGCTACTAAAACTGGAAACAAGCATCATCATCAGCATGCATTACAAGTTATCATGTCTTGTTTCCTACAATACAATGTTAATCATTTAAAAGGAATGAATTCTACCAATGACAATTCACAGACTACTACAAGCACTTGGCAGTGAACAAAATGGTGTTTTTAAAAGAGAAACTGACTGGTACATTGTATGTGAATGCTGGCTTGTACATGTTAGGGGACTCCAAAAGTCAACATGGAAGAAAGGATATTTACTAAAAATAACAACGCAAATGGAGGCTGCTTGGCCAGCATCACATGGAAGGTGAGGTGGCAAGGCCCTTGCAAACTTAAACATCGAACTTAACATTACCCATACAATTAAGGTAATAAAAGATATGATAAATCAAAAGAGATAGAAACTAGGCAGAGGCAATTGTGTTAATAAGCATGATATGATGCCATCACATGACTGTGATGTTTTGTAATGCTACAGTACAGATCTCGATTATCTTCCCTTCCCACGCGTTTTGTACCAGGTTTTTAACTTGAAATTTATTGTGCAAAAGTCGTGTAAATCGCGTTTAAATTGCGATTGAAAGCCGTGTAAAAGCCGTGTAACACGTGGTTAGGTACTGAGCAAAAGTCGTGTGAGCCGCGTACACTAATTACATGTAGCTGCAACCAAGAGTGGCCATATTGCATAACCACACACAATTACACGAAAGTTACGAGATTCAAACCAGAGAAATGAAAGAGATTTAAACAAGACTTGCACAGCTTTTGCATGTGTTTTCATCAAGAAATGCACAGCTTTTACTGCGTTTTGCACGACATTTGATAGCGATTTGCACGCGTGTAGATGGAAAGTTCTTCGAGCTCTGTAATGCTAAGCAAGCAGGACTGGTTATGTTAAAAGAATCACAAGGAATGTAGGAAATCAGGCCGACTGCAAATATCTCATTTTAAGTGCAAAAAATTGCACAAAAAATGATGAAATTTGATGCTAATGTTTGTCAGCATCAGGCCACACTAAAGCAATTTTATGGATAAAATACGTGTGTGCGTTGACTTTTGCCTGTCTCAAAAAAAATCACTTCGGAGGTTCAAGCCTGTGTGCCATCCTCTGTAATCCATGGTAGCTAGTGACAATAGGACACCAGCGAGCGGTAACTACGGAGGATGGCACCCAGGCTAACATGCAGGCAACCAAGGCTCAACAGGACTCAGTACGATGCAGACTTAATCTTATAAATGCTACAAAAGGCCTGCATGTGCCAGCTTGTTGTGAAAGTAGTTAAATATGTACTACTGCAAATGCACAATTCACAGCTTTGTATTCCTGTGGTTCAGCAGCATTTTTTCCTGCGTGATCTTTTTTTTATTCGCCCTCTCGAGTTGGTTTTGGGGACTTAAGAGGTCGTCATCCATAAAATTAAGTCAGTGTGGCCTAAAAAATCTTGTTAAAAATATGGCCAATTTGAAGATGTGTCTACTTCTCATTGAGCTACAGAATAAGCAGAAGCCACATTAAGATTGGAATAAAAATATTATGTACAAGAAGCCTTAAAGAGTACGTGTGATGTTCATACAATTGTGAGTTCATGACCAAAGGAAGTACAGACAGTATTCAGTATGTGATGACATCATTATAATGCTGGAGAAATGATTGCTTCAAGCTAAACTGTGCACAAAAATGTACAATTCTGACCTAAAAAGACCAAGATGTTACCAAGAATCAAATTTAAAGAATGTGCCTTTTTTCTGTCTGTTTTGAAAATCAGAAAACAAAATACGTCAGATCCCTGAATTGAAAAACAACATCAAATTTGTTCTACCATCTTTTTTCTTCACATTCAAGAACTCAGGGATTCACAACTAAGCCTGCCAAAAAAATAAAACTTTTTTCTAAAACTGGCAGGCCTGAGCATACAAACATTTTAAAAAAAATTAAAGTGGTCAAGATTGCTAACAATTCTTTCAAATTTGAATGACTGAATTTTTAATGAAATGCTTGTTTAAGTGTACGTAATTTGGAATCATGACTTAAATGGTTCAAAACATTTATCACTCATATGTACTCAGGAAGTAACGCAACATTTTGGTCTTTTTCTTTCTATCTTAGTAAGACTAGTTTTTGTTGTACAATGAAAACATTGCCTGTATACCATATATCTAAGGCTAGTTATGCCCAATCATTAAAAAAATACACAATCTCTGTTGGTTAATGCAGGCTGTGTTTTCATCATTAAGGTCTACATGAATGTGTAAGTGCTGGCAACTAGAACAGTTCACAACTTCTAGTGTTTACAGCTAATTCAATTTTGTAAGTCCAGTCAATAGTCCTGATTATTATATATATATATATATTTTTTATACAGGATACACATTTCACTGTAATGATCAGTACCTACATATGTACATGTACAATCAGGGCTTGAAATACCTCCTGCATATACAGGTTAGTGTGTTTTTAGTGTGAAATTGGAGCTGTACGTATGTGTAGGCATTTCTGATGTCTACCTACATCAGTACATGCACTGGGTTTATATACAAAAATGTAGATGTATGTGGATTTTCATTCGCTTTACTGACTAGAAATAATAGAAAATTAATGGTTTCCTGTGATACATACTTCCTAAATTCTGAGCGGTGCAGGTAAAATTTGTCTGGTAAAAGACTAGTAATTTTGAATTTTACTGTACCTGCATCAATACGGGTATCAGGGCTCGAAATTCGTTTTGGGTAATATGGGCACTGGTGCACCCAACCTACAAAATTGGGTGCACAAACAAATTTTCAGCAAAAACTAATTTGTACATAAAGGTACTATAATAATGAATGATGATTTTATTATTTCATTGACCCTTAGATATTACGAATATGTTGTATACTACTATACATTTAACATCTTTACATACGTAAACCTACGAAAATATTCGGGTACACTGGTGCACCCACAGAAAAAAATTGGGTGCACAGCTCCAAATTTGGGTGCACTAAGGTGCACATGCACCCAGTATTTCCAGCCCTGTGTATGTAGTCTGGATTTTAAACTTGAGATTTTTCATTTTGGTTGGTTGGTTGGTTGGTTAAATATTTTTCTAATGACACATTTAGCAAAGTAAACGTGAACCTTCTGTGCTGCCAACATAAGTCAGTGGTGTGGTGCAGAAAGAGGAGGAAGCTATGGACATACATGTACCTTGTTGGTGTCCGTCTTGTCATCATTGTCCTCATCTGTCAGGAACTCACGTTTGGGGTACGGGATCGGAACACCCGCAAATACACTACGGAAGAGTAAAACATGGACTGAGCCGGGAATTGGGACTGATGGCATCATTCAAGTAAAGTACTAGAAAGGTAACATTTGCAAAGCAAATGCATAATGTTTACCTTTGCATATGGTCTGCTCTGTTAATTCTTACACATTCATATATATTGTCAGATAGGAGTCTAAATCCCTCTTGCTATAAAATTGCAACATGATGTAACCCAACACTAGTTACCATGGTGACAGACATCTGGTTCAGGTCATTGACCTTATTTGTTTGGAGAAGAGGAGGAAGAACAGAGCAAAAACAATTGCGAAGGTAAACATATTAACCCAATGGGTGAAAATCAGGGCTCTAGCCCACTCCAATTGTATTTTTAATCCTTATCAAAAATTATCAGTTACTTTAGAATTTGACACATCAAATATTCATAAGCAACTGTACTAATCAAAAGTTCTTCCAAATTCACACCAGAGAACCCAATGTACATGTATAATTGTATGTCTCTATTGGCCAGCCTAGTGGTTGATTTTTCCAGTATCTTACTCTGAAGTAGGCTGGGGGTCCTCCATGAAGTAAGGATCTGCCATGGCCTGGTCAGATGATATTCTCTTGGTGGGGTCCATGGTCAGCAACTTGGATAACTGCAAGAAAGCATATAGATACAACATGTAGCAGCACTGCTATGTATTACATGTATGTGGCAGCATTCTATGATTTCTGTATGGTTGCAGGACAAATACACCATAGGCTGAGACACATTCAGTACACACAATCTACTGATATTCTTAAACTCTGTATGTATCTTTAATTACAACTGGTATTCAAGAGTGCAAGGAATCAAACCCGTGACCTCTCGATCTCGTGTCCGCTTTCCTAGCCACTTGGACATTTGACACCACTTACAAAAGATCCAGCATCAAAGAATGTACATGTAAGATTGAAGCCCCTTCACAGTTTCACAACCTTCCCATGAATTTGTTCCCAAAATCGACTGACATTCAGGAGCAGTCTTACCAGATTTAGGCCACGCCTCTATACCAATTTGAGGTAAATTTGGGTATGAACTGAAACAATTTTGAGTTAGGTTTGAGTCAAATTTGACCCCTGAACACGCCCCAAACACTGCTGAATTACTCCTAAATCACGGCTCCAGACTAACTTTTTGACTTAGGAGCACTGTGCTCCCAACGTTAACCCAACACAATTGGGCGCACCAGCAAAAATCTACATTGTAGGCGCACCACCAGAAAAAAATTGTCCTATCCACGTAATTTGGTTAAGGTTCCCACCAAGTTCAACAAGAAAAAATACATGATACAAACTATGCATTTTCTACCTATAACTTGAAGCAAGTAAACCTAAGGAATCACTGTCATTATTCTCATTAACATATCAAAATCTAAATCTAAGCTATGAGTAGCTACCCAATCATATAATACTAACTTACCAGATGGAATGCTTTACTGTCAGCTTTGACCTTGTGTTTTTCCATGTACTTCAGTAAACAACAGTTTTGGTATCTGGAAGACATGTTCGGTAAAACCGACCAATAAGGCATCTGATTACTGTTTGTTCAGAACATGGTCAGAACACAGAACAATATTTTTCATCAAACCTTCAACGTTCATACTCAGATTGGTACAACAGTAAAGCAAGGAAGATAATACTAAAAGTACAATACATTACTTATGTGCAAAATACATGTATTCTGTTTCTGTAAAAAGGAGATACACATTGAAGAGCTCGAAATACATTGTACTTTTTTCTGCATACATGTATCTACATTGGTGCAGGTACATGTTGTACCATTGAAATTTCAAAAAAAGGTTTTGACTGAAATGCCCTACTGTGATCTGCGGAAGTCTTTCATCAGTGTGGCATGTTCTGGCATCTTCCTGATGTCTTCCCAGTCTTTTTCTGTAGTAGCAAAAATAACCATGGTCTTACTGTAAATCACTTTATATTCACAGAGGCAAAATTTTGCAAGAAAAATAGACATGTTCGCGAAAGTTTATGTCTGCAGTGGCATCAGATGCAGAAAAAAGAAAGTCATTGAATTATTTGTTCGCAGTATTTGAGGTATAGAAGTGGACATGAAACACTCGAATATACAAGTTAAGTACGGCAAATACAAAATAATTTCCAGTTCCCTGGCTTCTTGTCATCAAGACAGTATGTTACAACATGTTATCATCATCATTAGAATATTTCAATTTTTGGTGCAAAAATATTACAGGTACATAAGGCCCCTTTATTCAACAGTTTGTACATGTAACAATGATACAAGTAAGTCTCTACTTTTTTGTCATACCTTGTGGAAACCCCATGACATTGAATATTCTGTCCAGCTGGTCATGGTGGTAGGGGTTACTTGTCTTGATGTCTTCCTGTCTACAGTGGAAGATTGGCTCTGATGTTAACAGCTCTGCAAAGATGCATCCAATGGCCCAGATATCTGTAAGTAAACAATAAAAGCTTTTAAAATTAGAAAGATAACATTTGCAAAGCAAAATTAAGCATATAATGTTTACCTTCAAGTGATAGTATATGATATAGTATGGTCTGCTGTTAATTCTTACTCAAACACATTCATACATGTATGTATGGTCAACAGGAGTCTAAATCCCTCCTGCTATAAAATTGCAACATGATGTAACCCAACACTAGTTACCATGGTGACAGACGTCTGGTTCAGGTCATTGACCTTATTTGTTTGGAGAAGAAGAAGAAACTGAACAAAAAAAAATTGTTTTCCTTCAGTAAACATAAAAAGCTGGACTGGGGCCAAGATGGGAATAGCCAAGGACGTACTGTCTTGCCAAGAATGACAGGAATCGAACCCGTAACCTCTTGATCTCACATCTGCTATGCTAACCACCTCTCCATACCTATTGCCTTGGTGTAGTGTCTTGCCGCCAGCAGAAGCTCAGGTGCCCTGTACCAGAATGTCACCACCACCGGGTCCAGGTCTGCTAGGGGCTTCAGTGGGGAGTTGAACAGGCGTGCAAATCCCATGTCAGCTGCAAGGGGGCAGCACAAATGGGAAAGACAAGTCAATGGGAGTTCATTGGTGCATCACAGAGTCAGTTCCTCACTGAATTAACATCAAATGAAAAGATGTGTACCTATTTTCACTCTTCCCCTCTCTGGTCCTTCACCCATCACTAGGATATTGGCAGGTTTCTGAGTGAAAAAAGCAACAACAAAAGTATTTATTTCAAGTCATAAAAGAATGCTTTAAGAATTTTTTAATCTAACTCTTTATCATCCTATGTACATGGAAACTCCATGGGATGTGGTCAAACAAGAAAAAACAAAAAATCTTTAACACAGCTCGTTTTGTCTTAAGATCATTGTCACAATGCATCAACTAGAAAGAAAAACAAAGCAAATGCATAATGTTTACCTTCACATAGTCTAGCCCAACAAACTACTGCTCTGTTTATTCTTACTAAAACACATTCATATATATGGTGACCAGTCCCTCCAACTTGCCACATAATGTAATCCAACACCTTACGGTGTCTATTATAGCATCAGTTACCATGGTGACAGTCGTCTGGTCCAGGTCATTGACCTTATGTCTTTGGAGCAGCAGAGGAGACTGATCAAAAACAATACACATTCCTTCTGCGAAGGTAAACAATTGTCAATTGTTCTTGCAGAAAATGGGGAAAATGACCTGTAACACTCAGGCAACAGTGATTGTGGTTTGTGACAAGGCCTTACCAGATCTCTATGTAATATCCAGTTGGCATGAAGGTAGTGGATGCCATCTAAAATCTGATATAACAGGGACTTGACCATCTGTCTGGGGATGGGAACAGGCTTCTTGTTGGCTTTGGATGCTCTGTGCCATTTTATAATGTGCTGCAATGTTAAGAAAGAGATATGCAACATTAGAGTCATTAAGACTGGGCCATAACATTATACAACTTGCAAAGATACTAGTACTCAACTCTGGCAGTCTTTGGCATTGTTTTGAGTCTTATATATGCGTTTTCTAATACGATGTACTGTCTTAAGCAGAATTACATGTAACTAGAGTTCCGCGATCTCATACCTTCGCCAAATGATGTTAATCTTTATGGCTGACAAATATAGATTATTACCCCTGATTGTGCAGATAGGGTCCTCATTTCCATGAATTATATCAGTCTTTATCATATTCTCAACCAAAAGACAGTCTTATATTAACAAAAGGTGCCATTCTATTATTTCCTCATAAATTATGCAAATAAGGTCCTGATTTAAATACATCATGTTTAATGATGTTTACCTTCACTGAACTTTCAAATACCACAAGTATGAAATTCCAGGCAGTTATCTTTACAGAATTATAACATTTTCTCATTAATTATGCTATTAAGTCCTCATTTACATAATCAATATCTGCCTGTGCTTCTCTCCTTCTCAATTACCATTCTCACAAGCTTCAATAGTCCTATCATGGAATGCAGCTGATTTATAGAATATCCCCATAAATTATGCAAATCACATCCACATTTGCATAATTGTCACATAATTACATCAAGCATCACATAAGCTACCTACATACCAAAAATCACGACGATCCGTCAACTGGTTCTTGAGTTATCCTCTTTTGAATATTTTCAAACAGATAGCCCTGCAGTTCCAGAGCAAGCCGCTAGGGGGCTCAAACTGATGTCACTTCTTCCCTAGCACAAGAGCTACCTACCACCTAAATTTCGTCACCCTAGCATGTCTAGATCCTGAGATATCAAAACCGGAAGTTTAGCTGCAGTACCATAACAAGCCGCTAGGGGGCCCAAAATCTAATCAGTTCAAGCTCTCATTAAGACCTACCCACCTACCAAATATCAAGATAATCCATCTAAGCTTTCTCGAGATATGCTGTTGACACACAGACAGACACACACACGGCCACGAAAACATAACCTTCTCCAATTCTTGGCGAAGGTAATAATAAGACCAACCGATAAAAAAAAGATACTAGTATACAAAAAAGTTCAGGTCGATTTTTAAGAGCACCATGAAATATAGAAATAATAGACAGTGATAACATTTGTATTGTTTTGTGATGGTTTTATGATAGTTTCACTCTTGAAAAAAACTTAATTATAGTTGTTTATTTACTTACCCACAAATCATGTTCTGCAAAGTCAAATAGAAGCCATACTTTTCGGTCAGAATGAGACAGAAAAACTCTGTGTAGGGTGATCACGTTTGGGTGTTTCAGCTCTCGGAGAAGCTGTCAACAAACAAATAGAATTAGACTCATATAAAATTATCACACAATTAATGATAGACTCATTAAAATACAAATTGTGTTACAACCAGTACATTCAACATGTAGAATTAAGGGCTTTATATCTAAGTTAACCAGTTATATAAATGACTCTAACGAGACTAAAAGTCCTTGCATACAAAGCTATTGCATACATGTTAAGTTACATTGTATATTTAATGTGCTTGTTACAAACATAATCAAAATAATAATCATGTTATTTTGTCAATATTTTGTAATATTATTTTTTATGACTTTGCAAACATGACAATTATACTTACAGCAATTTCTCGACATGCTGACATAGAGATGCCAGTACCTTCTATCTGCTTCAGTGCATATTCTTTGTCATCTGACCTGTGGGCACGTAAAGAAACATATCAAAAATACATATGCATTTTAAATGCATATGTATATATGTAAAGTCAATAATTTTGCAGCATTCACAAAAAAACATGTTGTACAATGTAATTATCGTAGAATTTGGCTGGTTTAATTGGATGTTCATCCTGTCAATTATGATAGAATACCATGGCGTGGACTATAATTTAAATTTGACAGGATCATAATTTGGAAAAACTTATGTTTTTGAAAGGATGATGATCCTGTCAATAACTAATATTCCTTAAGTTTGTATATGGCAATCACAAGATTATAGAATTTGGACCGACACCTCGGAGTTATGATTTACACAACATTTTCCGATTGGCGATGATAAACTTACCCGTCTTTTCTCTTTGCTTTGTATACATGCCCGTATGTTCCTCGACCGACTTTGCATCCTTCGTAGTCAAAAAGGTCCTCTACTTTCTCCCTTTGCGCGGCCGTTTTTAGCTTGAATTCGTAGTCCATTGCTGGATCACTGCGTCAAAAACACTCAATAAATCCTAATGGAATGTAAACATATAACCAAAGCAGCAAAGCGTCCTCTAAAGTGGGTAGTTTTGTGAAATAAAAATGGACAAAATCCAGGAAATTTTTATCCAAAAGGCGCCATTTTGTTCTCTCCTTCACTGACGTCATGGCCTTTGCGATACGTCGTAAAATCCGCATAAAGAATAAAAAGTATCATAATTTTCGTGCTAAATTATATAAAAGATATCGCATTTTTGTGATAATGATAGACAAAAATATACTGCTTATCGCATAATTTAAGTCATGACCAAAATGTCATTCAACATCATCTGTTGATACAATGTCGCAAAAGTCGGCGATTACATTATGTTGCTCAACAGAGGGCATCCTCTATGTGTAAGTTTCATAAAGTTAGTAATCTGGAATAAAAGTCAAAGTTAAGCCACAAATATAAAATATCTAATAATTTTATAATCTATTTTTAGCAATTATAGTTACCTAAAAGGAAATAAAGCATATTTATTTTAAGATAATTATGTTGTACACCCCTGTATATTTGTAATCGCCCGTTTTTGCCGCAAACCAGAAATCTCGTCTGTCCCAAAGGCAGACGATACTTTTCTCTCCGCCTTTAGTCTTGCTGTATGGCGTTTGTTCGCACGGACTCGTACCGAGCTGCAGGGATTGCGTGTCTCCGGCCCTCGATTTACTTTGTCGACGATGGCTAGCAACAACCATTTCTTCGAGGGGGCGGAGAAGCTCCTTGAGGTGTGGTTCCTTCGGACAGAAGACGGGCAGGATCTCCGAGATATCGCGAGGTAAAACATGTGACCAGCTTCGCGATATGTTCCGATATAAATATTTGTTGTTGTCTGTCTGTACAGTAACACCGTCTGTATAAATTTTAGGCGTCAGTCCATAACGATAGGCTACGCTGAAATATATTATTACCTGGATAAAACAAAGAAACTCAGGATCTACGCAGCTCAGAGACATTTTGTAAAGCTACGTCCTTGAATTATAAGCAAGATGATTTAGACCTTGGTCAAATTTGCCCCCTAATGGCTCACAACACGGAACTATAAATAGTATAAAGGGCCAGATGTAATTTGTGTAATGTTTGTCCTGAAAACAAGTATGTATCTGCATGGCGATACATGTAAGTCAACCAGTGTATAACTACATGTAACGTTAGTTACCATAATTTCAATTTTTGCAATTTAAAACTTGCTTGTTGGCCCATGGAGGTAGAAGTGGAGATGTTGGCCTAACACAATTTACTTGTGAGTTGTAGTCCTGGGAAAAGTCTTTGTGATGTGCCAGAGGCTATTGACACTGGAAACAAAATGTACTACATTGTATTGACGTCATCATTGATGATTGACGTAATCATTTTGTCAATGAGAAAATCTACATCATTGACACTGACCATTGACAAGATCATCCTGGGCATGAAATAAAGTCCATCTGAGTTGGTAAATTACATTATGAAAAATTTAAACTGTTCTCCAACTCATAAATTTGACTCACCGGAATTTTCGACTGAATCACTCCTTCTTCTTTAGCTACTAGTATCTGACCCAAATGCTGTGGACGCATGATTTTTCCCACGTGTGACGTCAGCAAAGGGTCAAAGGTTGTCTGAAGTTGATATCGCCCCCCGTCCCGGTTTAGCAAAGTTTGAAGTCCTTGATGTATATGGCCTAGCCTCTTTTATTCCTCTCTTGAAGTAATCAAAATTTTCTGTCATTGACAGGATGATCCTGTCAATAGTACATGGTGTTCTGTTAGTGACAGGGTCATCTAGTCTGAGTGTTATCCTCGATGGTTACCACTGGCTCCCTACTGTTGCTGGTTATTACCATAGAAACCATCAACAGTAAGGAGCCAGCTGTAACTACGGAGGATGACACCCAGACTAGATGATCCTGTCAATAGTATAAATTTTATTTTCAAAATTTCCTGTCATTGAGTCATGATCGACAGGATGAATATCGATAGCCATTCCTGGTGATTTGAAACCCACAATATTTGAGTTAGGAGATGCCATATATGAGATGTAGAGGCTGTACATAGTATTCTGATCTAAATATTAAGCATTTGGACACATGGGCAATGGCAATATTTGTAGGTCATTTAGCAATTAAGGTCCAAAGTACAACTGTTTCTTCATATTTTCGATATTAATGGTCTCAATATATTTAATCAACAAAGGCTTGTACATTGGTGTAAAAGTTAATTATTTTATTTATTTATTATTTATTGATGTATTATTATCATCATGATTAATACTCCCCTTCTTCCGCACAAAGAGAGGACTGGGAAGAGGTTCTGAAGACAGTCCGCTGCCAGATCATCAGCACCATGAAGAATGACAGCCAAGATGCCTATCTCCTCAGGTAGGAGCTTTTGATGGAATTAAGTTTCAACAAAATAGCTTAAAATGTTGGAGAAGGGAAAACATTGGTGTAAAAATTGTAGTGTAATTTCTCTTTTATTATGAAGAAACATATCCATCTTTACATGCATAACATGTTATACATGTATGAAGATTTGCTGCTTTATATGCTGTTGTTTGAATCTTAATGAGTCTTAATAAATGTATATGAGACTAGAACCATAGTAACTTCTTGGTATGATATTGATATGCTTAAGACATACATTTTTTATGTATTGAAAAGTTAGACCTGCCATTCCTCTGTTAACTCACTGAGTTCCTGTTACATATGTTACATCACTCACTCACTCACTGTCCGGTTTATCTAACTGACTACAAAACGTTACACATCAATTAATGTGTTGACAGTGAGAGCAGCATGTTTGTGTCTGATCGCCGGTTCATCCTGAAGACTTGTGGTACAACACTCCTCCACAACGCCCTTCCACTCATGCTGGACCTGGCCAAGAAGAAATGTGGCTTCCACGTAGTAGAGGTATACAAAAGTTGTAGTGATAGAGATGTACTTTAGATATATTGTATGTCACAGTGAAATGTTATCATTCCAGTTACAGTGTATATTAGAAATAAGTGGTGTTAGAAATAAACTTTTATAGAAAACAAGACAACTTCTAATAGGTATCATTGAAGATCACATGTTAATTTGTCAAATTGTTCAGCTACAGGTCCAGACTTGTACCTAATCCTCTATACCATGTACCTGAAGTTACATTTGGGCACACAGCCCTAGTTTATGGTAAATAAGTGATCCTGTGTATTGTTAGTTACAAAATCTGGAATGTGCAGATCAAGTTGTTACACACACACACACACACACACACACATCTGGTTTATCATTTGTTGTTTCCTGTCTTCCGAGCTAGGGTTAGGCGTGCTTGCACTGCAATACTGAGGTGTTATAATAGTTTTTATTACTCAGGGTATGACATAACTCATTGATGAAGTTTATGCACATCTACAGGACATCTTCTATTCTCGGAAGAACTTCATGCGTCCTGAGCTCCAGCACAACATGCACCGCAGCTTTGAGGAGGAAGTCATCATCTTGGAGAAACTGTTTGAAGGTTTGGAAATACATTTGAAACAGATTTTAGGACTGACGCGTCCTTTCACTTGTATTTCTTGTCAGGCAATAATTTCAGTAGTAGTACTAGTAGTACATAGTGTATCATTATGCCCAATAATCTAGCTACAACTTTTTGTACATGTCTAGTATTATACATGTACATGTATGTCATACCTGGGCTGCGATAATGTTCGATACTGGTGTTCCAGCCCTATGATGCACTGTTACTAATTAGTTACTTAATTATGTAGGGTTCTATTTGGTTATCACTTGGGCTTCCAAATGTTCCACGGAATAGTTCAAATGGGATTATTTTTTAGGTAGAAGTCTGTATTTCTAGGTTGTTTCTATGAGTTTTTGTTGATGTGGTTGTTGTTTTGTTGTTGTAGATGGAGCAGCGTACTGTCTAGGCAGAATGAATGGAGACTGCTGGTAAGGGGCTTTCCCAGAATCCCATACCAGAAAACAGTTCTAACTTACATAAGTTAGTAAGCTAATTGAGACCACAGATTTGCTGTAAGTTATTATGTAGTTATAAACAAAGATTTTTGGTATGCACTGCTTTTTAGAGGAGGAAAACTATCATATTTGAACACACACCACTGCAAGCAGACTAGTTCCATGCTGTAGTGCTACAGTGCTACAAGGGCTACAGAAATGGAAAGGTCACTGTGTAATACATCAAAAGGGGTTGGAAGGATCTTTAAGTTTTACATGTATGTTGTTATTGCCTAAACATTTTCCCAAAGTGAAAGATTCCTCTTGTATGACTCAAGTTCTCTTTGGGCACAAGTAATGGTTTTGGCAGTATTCTTCTCGCAATTCAAATTGTTTGGATACAATGCAATCATAAGTTTTACGTGATACAGAAATATTATAAAACAGATGTTTCCATCATAACGTCAGTGTATTTTTTCCTGTGATGTCCTGTAGGTATCTGTACACCACTAACAACCCAGACAGCAGCAAGCCAGGCCAGGCAGAGCCAGACCAAACACTGGAAATATCCTTCATTGCATGGAAGGCCTGGTAGAGGGATAAAACTAGTACTCTAGCGGACAATTGAGAAAACAGCAGTTCTCTTTGGATTAGGCATTGTTCTCCCAAACTCTATCTCAGATCTCTTGTAGTGACTCTTAGTCTTACAAGTCTCTTTTTTGAAACTGTTTTCGTATATAATTTTCCATTGTTTGAAAAGTCTCTTTCAAAATCACCTGTGAAAACATGCCTGCCATGTTGTTGTTTTTATGTCATTGTTTAGGGTTAGATGCTAATCCCCATTTAATTATCTATTGTTCAAAACAATTGATTGTATCTGAGGGGGCAGGGTCCAACCTTAGGTGTCAAGAAGGAATCTACAGCAGTTCTCTTTGGAGTCTCTTCTAATGGGGATAGATCTCTTCCAGCTCTCTTTTGGTCTTGTACTTTGTGATGAGATCTCAATTGTCCTCTAGAGTACTCAAAGAGATTTATCCCTCTACTAGTGGCGCGCCGGCCGGAGCAGTAGCTTGTACTGTTACAAAGACCTTCACTATCCTAAGATGTTTTTATCATATTTTATCATATTTTACATGAAAAAAATGTTAAATGCATCTGTGACTGACTACTAGAAATGACAAATGATACATTTTGTATGACTGTATTTTTCTCAACTGTCTTGTATGTTCTCTTGACTTTTCCTCTTATAAAATACTAGTAGCCGTTCCTTAACCAACATACATCCTGATGATGGACCTTGAACCAGATGCCATGAAACTGTTTCACAAGAACAGCATCGATCCTGCAGAGATAGCAAAGGTACTGCTGCTCTTACAACAGTACTTTTCCAAGGATGACCTGTTGTCAAACTGTAAAACATGAAGCCTTACATATGATGGCCACTTCAAAATCACCTGTGCTTATACATGTATATTCTGCTATTTCCTCTGCCACCTACCGTGACCTAAGGCCACACCAATTTAATTTGTTGTTACTCGGATTCGCCCTGTCCATTTTTTTCTGATTTGCAAAAAAAAAAAAAAGATTTAAGGTTCTGAATCAACTGAAAAATGCTCAATGAAAGACATATTTGAGGCCTAACGGTTCAAGAAAGTCCTTTTCTTCGTAGTTGTTACAGTTTTTCAATGTAACAATGCAACTTCGTTTCATTAAAAGTTCAAAATCTATTGTTTTGGTTATAAACCAGCCTGGTATGTTGACTTCTGGGCTCTTATTGTAACATTTCCTGCCTTCATGGAGTGCCTTGGCCTGTTTCTTTTTTATTTTTATTTCACCCTGTCACTTCATATTTTTTTCTGAAAAAATCCGAGAAACAACAAATTAAATTGGTGTGGCCTAACCTGTGAAAAAAAAGACAAATATTGTACCCTAAATTTTCCTACAGCCCTTATCACATATAGCTGAATATGGCATCCCGAACACTGGTGAACTCCCCTCAACCATGGTTAGTTAGGAGTTATGAGGTTGGGAGTACATGTAACTTATTGTAAGGTCCGCTGTGGTTGGCTGGCGTTTGGTAAAGTCAACTGCGCTATCCGAATGTTAAAAAAATTAATGTTTAGCTATGGTAGACTGCTGTTTGGGAGTAGTTAAGAAATGTGTCAAGTTGTCAGATTTGACCCAAATTTAACTAAAGTTTGGATTGATTTGTATAGATATGTGGGCTTAGCTTAAATCTGGTCAGACTGCTCCTAAACGTCAGCCAACCTTGGTTGGTTGGTGGTTAGGGGTAGCCTCTGTAGTATGCCAAAACTGGGGGATTTGGGGATCTTCAGGGTCTTTGGGATCTTTTATATGCTATTTTCTGATTGCATATAGACAACATAGCCGGCCTGGTTGAATTACCCCCATTTTTTTTAGAACCGGGCTGATCAGAAAACAGCCGAAGACCACCAAACCCACAGTTCTATAAGCCTGCTACGGAGGCTAGGTCGGGGGAAGGTTCTGAATGTGTGACAGGCTTTATAATTAGCAGGAGAACACTGACTTTTAATGTTTCCTTGTAGCTGAGTGGTATTGCAGACCTGGAGCCGGGGACTATCATCGATGACTTTCTGTTTGAGCCATGTGGATATTCCATGAATGGGTTATTGCCTGATGTGAGTATTCTTGCAGTCTTTTTGTTCTTGCAGTCTAGCTACTTTGACAAGTTTTATATATGTGCTATCTAATCTGGTAGAATCAACATCACAGACCTTGATCTTTGTCGACAGAGACTTTCAAGTCAATCTATTGATCTAATTAAAAGTGACATGAAACAAATATGGAAAGTTATGAAGTTTTAAGCAAATGTCTTTATATCCATTCAGGATCTCTGTCCGTAGAACATCGGAGTCCTTATATTTAAAAAATAAAATACTTTGTGTTTTGTACCAGTTATTCACCTCAAGAAATTGAAACCAGCCTATTACTAGTGTTTAGTGTTAGTTTACATGTGTACAAACATATTTCAATGCTGTTGGAGGTCTTTATGGACCACGTACTTTTGTGTTTTGTAAATGAACAAAAACTTGTTTCTTAGTCTCTCTCACAGATTAAATCATCTATAGTGCATACAATTTATGCAATTGTATTCCCAGGATTTTGATATTATTTGTAGAACACTTTTTAGTAAATTTATGTCTGAATCAAACATTGTTTCTGGAATATAACTGATGTTACTTTAATATGCAGTTTTTATTGTCTATCATAGGGTGCATACATGAACATCCATGTGACTCCAGAGAAGGACTTTTCCTATGCCAGCTTTGAGACCAATGTCTCCAAGGTACATGTATACCAACTCTTGATACAGTGACACATGTACTTGACAAAATGTACATTTGTATATGTATTAAGCTCTCCTTTGTTGTCTAAGTCTTCATGTTACCATTTTATCATTTGAGATACTATGTATCTAAGGACCAGCAGTCTTGAAAAACTTTTGTTGTAGTAGTTGTTAAGACTATTATGAGATAAAAGTATCTTAATAAATATTTACAATTGGAAATTCATTTCTGTTTTTCACCTTTTTTTACCGTCTTTCTTATCATCACCTCCTCTTTGAATGTGATTTTCCAGAAAAGCTATGCCAACTTGGTCAAGCGAGTGCTGAATGTTTTCAAGCCAGGTCGCTTTGTAATGACGCTCTTTGCCAACATGGTAAGTGTTTGAACTTTCTCAGCAATATTTTCACAAACATCATCAAAGTACTGAGTACTTGCAATCTAAAGTAAATGTTGAAGTCAAAAAGTTGCTGCCAGTAACCACAGTGTCTCTAAAGTTAGTCATTCTTTTCTCACGTTTCCTGTTATTCATGAGCCAGATACGAAGCAACCATCAATGCAAGTTATGCCCCCCCCCTCCAAGGGGTACATAGGGTCATTTTATGTTGGTTGTTTTTTGACAAAAAAGATGTGTATTTAATGTAGTATTTTTTACTCCTCTGCCATTGCATTACGAGTCGTAAATCTGAGGCGGTAAAGAAAAAAATTTTAAGAAAAACAGAAAGATATTGAAATTTCTCATATATCTTTTTGTGAAATGGGGAGGAAATATTCTGCTAGTTTTGCTTATACAGTATTGTTTTCAAGATTTTCAAGACATAATGTTAAATTGTTACAATTTCAAACATGCATTGGCATGGAAAGACACTGTGCCTTCCCTGAGTTGCGAAATGTTAAAAAGTTGTGAGAAGCTACATTTGATTGTGAAGGTTTCTGTACAAAAAATTACAGATGTTAAAAATATCACTCAATATACAATTATACTTAATCAGTGTTTTAGCCAGTGATATAATTAATAAAGACCTTGGTGCTGAACAACCGACTAACAACAGTAGCAATTTAGGATTCAACAATCTACGAGGGATGACAAGCAAACTTTTGGGGATTTGTGTTCTGAGTTTTTATTAATTGTTGCTGTAACAATAGGCACCTTGCTTACCCCCCACACCATACAGGAATCAGAATTATTTGGTGTCCAGGAGAAAGGTGGTAGTGGGGACCATGCTAAACTGGTAAGGTCCTGAGATACACTGGCTCAATGGACACTCCATATTATCCAATCATAGTATAATGATGATTTTTCACTCAAGAGAAATGAAGCCTTCCCAATCTTCTTTGACTTTGATCATCATCATTTGATTTGAATATGAATATGATGCTGATCACTAGATGGATGGTTTATATAGAACATGAGGCCACACCAATTTAATTTGTTGTTTTCGCCCTGTCCATTTTTTTCTGATTTGCAAAAAAAAAAAAGATTTTAGGCTCTGAATCAACTGCAAAATGCTCAATGAAAGACATTTTGGCCCCAACAGTTGAAGGAAAGTCCTTTTCTTCCTAGTTGTTAAAGTTTTTAAATGTAACAAATTACTAACAATGCAACTTTGTTTCATTAAATGTTCGAAATCTAAATGTGTTCATTATAGACCAGCCTGCTGACTTCATGGCTCATATTGTAACATTTCCAGCCTTCATGGGGTGCCTTGGCCTGTTTTTTTTTTTTTTTTTCACCCTGTTGTTTCATATTTTTTCTGAAAAAATCTGAGAAACAACAAATAAATTGGTGTGGCCTAACAGCTAACACATAATGAGTGTACCCAGGTACAAAACAATGACCGTACCAATAACTGGGTAAAGACGACCAGGGGAAAAATGTCACAACTCAAAGAATTATGTGATCATTTACAACATGACTTTAACTTAAGTTAACAGATGCTTTAACTTTAAGTCTCAATTATTAACATTCCTAACCACTGTTAGGCAAATTTTACAATTTTCTGATCAAACGTACATGTACATTGCACACATTAGAAGCTCCGACCACCAACCCCAGTATGCCAAAGCATGGCGGCTGGAGCTTCTATTAAATGCATGCAATCTACATGTACATGTACGTTCAATCAGAAAATTGTGCAAGTTGCAAATAAGGCCACACTGACTTGATTTTATGGATGACATCCGCACGTGCACTGATTTCCGCCTGTTCTCAAAAACAAAGATCACGTCCTCCGAGGCTCTGGTCTGGTTCTAGGCCTGGGTAGTCAGTATATACAATGTATATACATACAGTGCTGATTCATGAATTCCACAAAAAGCTAGCATGTGGCGGCATGTCGTGTACGTCGCTATTTACTGCCGCAAATTCGCAACACCAGCTTTGTATTCCTGTGGTATAGTAGCATTTTTATTTTTGGCCAGAATTTTTTTTTCATTCGCCCGCACGCACTAGTTTAGGTGTCTTTAGAGGATGTCATCCATAAAATTAAGTCGGTGTGGCCTAAGCCCCCCCCCAAAAAGCCCCGGCCGATCCCAGAACGCTTGCAAAGGAGGCTATACAAACGTCATGTAATGCCACTTGAGATTGATGAGAAAAGTCTTCTTCTCTCCTTGTGTTCCCTCCAGACGTCTGAAGTGTACCCAGGAGACTCCACCTTCGAGGATAAGATCTTTGACTACCAGCGTCAGGACTGGCAGGCTAGTAAGTTCAGCAACTACTACCTGACCTTCTGCAACTATGCCAAGGTCAAGACCAAGCCTAGCTGACAGGGCTAGTGCTAGGGCTAGATGCAGTCCTGAAGCACGTCAGCAGAACGTACCGCACCTGCACAAAACACGTAATACAGTGCTCTCCAACTATTTGCATCACTGACATTGGCATAAACCTAGGATTTGCATAAAATTATGAAAACCCAAACCATTTGCCATTCACTCCATTATAAATTGCACTGTAAGTCATCATTTTTTTACGGTACCATATAATTGTATTCACAGTTTTCACAGTAACTTCAGAATCTGTACTGTGAATTTATCATTACCTACGAACAAATAATTCACAGACTTTCTTTCTTCTGCACCTGCCACTACTGCTAACATATAGTTCCTCAAACATGTCCACTTTTCTCAGATGGCGAAATTTTCCTACAACTGCAAATGCAAAGTGATTTACAGTATGTTGTGATATATTGCGCATAGCACATCAGCAGAACATCTTGTTTAAGGTTGTATTGGCATATTTAAGGATGACATCCCGTCTGTAGTTTTCAAATGTTGTGTTGGAACAGACAAAATTCTGATGCAATGTTGACCAAACATCCAGTGGAAACCCAGCTTTCACTCAGGTGCACTACGTTCTGCCAAAGTGCTCGGTTAATCTGTGTTATCATGTTGGAACATAAGACTGAAAATTGTTATGTTCATATCAAAGGTAGGCAGATGGATGAAAATTTCACGTAGTATGTTTGATTTTGTAGTTAGTTTAATCCTTACATTACATTTTAATGCCAAAATATTTGGCAAATTCGTAATTATGGAATTACATTGTACAATGTACAATGTCACCTTTACTGTTGTTGAATCAATATCTACTTGTATAGAGACCTGGGATGGTCTGTTAGCATTTTGCTTAATAGTTCTCTTCCCAACAATGTGTATGCATTTATTATAATTCAATTTGGTATAATTACCCTGGCTCTAGCCTACATTAATTTTTATTAGTTTGGTAAACTATTGATAGCTGCATTGACTGCAATTGCAACATTGTTTGTCAAAGCAGTATTCTATTAATCCATGTACATCTATATCTATTTGGCCCTGAAGCTTGAAAGATACTTTGCCACATTGTTTGAAAAATATACAATGAAAGTTTTTAATAGAACTTAGAAAGATGCTGTTTAGTGTAGTTACGATTTCATCTGCGTTGATTTGTTATGACAGTGATAGTTCTGATACTGATTCTGTTATTGTTACTACTTGTACATTATAGATAAATGTACATTAATGATATATATATAATAAGCTTTCTTGGACAAGTTTGATCTACGGGACTCATCTTATAAAGATGTATTGACAATATATGCAAATGACAACTATACATTTTAAAATCTGCCTGAAGGATGATCAAAATGCTAAAATACATGTTGAGGGATTAGGGGTAGGCATGACCGATAATGTCATATGTTCCGGTGGTTTCATATGCGTATGTAATTCATACGCATATGAAACCGCGTATGAAACGCTGATTTCTAGACCCAAATGCTAGTTCTTGAAACTGGGTATTTTAAAGCAAGGATATTTAACCTCCTTAGTTTTTCAGGTCCTGATAGTTAACAATTTGTCTTCTCGATAAATCTTTTTTAAGAACTTTCAATGCTCTTGCCATATCACGTAAGGATGAAAATTTAGAATAGGTATAATTGCAATATTTTGTTCATTTTGTGTTAAATGTTATTATGTTAAGAAACCTAGAATGAATAAAGGATATCTTCTGGAAACCTCTTTGCAATTTCGTGTGTCTTATAAAATGTAATACCTAAGAGAATTCACACACCCTTTTGCTTTGTTCCTTAACTTGCTTTATCACCTATTAGGAGGTTATGTTTGGGGGTCCATTGGTTTCATGTAAGGAAACTTGATTTAATTGGTGATATGTAAGGACACATGGCTTAGAAAAACCCTAATAATCCACTGGCTGGAGCATCAGAAACTAGAGTTCCACGATTTCATACCTTTGCCAAATGACTTTCTTGTGACTAAGAAAGTATACATTAATCCCCCTGATTATGCAAATAGATCGTCATTTGCATGAATTATATCTGTTGATCATATTCTACACCAAAATACAGTCTTTTATTAACAAAGAATTCCATTATATCATTTCCTCATCAATTATGTAAATGAGGCCCTTATTTGAATAAGTTATGTTTAATTATTTATAGAATTTCCTCATCCATATTTGCATAATTGTAATATCATTATGTCAAGCATCACTTAGGCTACCTACATACCAAAAATTATGACGATCCATCAATCGGTTTGGTATTCAGCACCAAGGACAGGTTTACCTGCGTGTGGAAGGTGTTCAGCACCAAGGCCAGGTTTACCTGCGTGTGGAAGGTGTTCAGCACCAAGGACAGGTTTACCTGCGTGTGGAAGGTGTTCAGCACCAAGGACAGGTTTGCCTGTGTGTGGAAGGTGTTCAGCACCAAGGACAGGTTTGCCTATGTGTGGAAGATGTTTATTCTACCACGGAATAAACCGCGAAAATAGATGAATAGGAAAATTGGGCAAGAGTGTTATGTTTCCACATAACAGCTTATTCTTGAAAACGTTTATTTCTGATGATAGAAATACTAATTTAAAGGTGCCCTGTAGCTGCATTTTTACCCATTTTTTTACCGAGATTTATTTATTTTATTTATTTATTTATTTATCTATTACACTTTCCAATGCAACAGCAAGTAGCATGGAGGAGAGACAAAATAGGTGCATAATTGCACCTCTTATGGTCTAGTGTTACACCTCTGCCAGTTGTCTCTCCACATACAAAATACATACTAAAACAGTAATGATACAAAAGTAGACAATTCAACTGACAACATACTATAACATATTAAGATATATGACAATATAGTGACAACTATAGGGCAGTTATCGCGGCCTTGTGGCCTTACAGGTCGTACATCTGCAAAAAGATATCCAGCTACATGCAGCATCGGTGTCATAGATCGCATTAAACCTATTATGTAAATGTATCATCAACTGTCTTTTGAAAGTATTCAAGTGTTGTGGCTGAGAGACATGTAAACCCAATGTTCTCAGACTGACATCCAAACTGTTCCATATACATACAAGTCTTGGGAAGTACGACATAGCAAACAGTTGTGTTTTAGATCTTGCGCTTCTCGTGCTTCTCAAAGGAAAAGAAACATATTTCAACATATTTGAGTCGACATCAACGTTAGTAACCTTCGTATAATTAGATAATCTAATCGTCCTTCTTCGACACATATAAGTGCCTGGCACCGAAACGGGCCGTCATTGGTCGTCATAATTGGATTATCAACTTCACATTAATTATGCACAGCCGTTCTGCACACCTGTGTAAAAACAAGTTTGGTATGGTCCACTCAAAATGGCGATTTCGTACGACGGGAATACCCTGGGCTGATTTTTTCACAACTTTCTGGGTACGTTTTCGTTGATAGAATGTCTTAGGAAGTGTGCAGCAGAATGTCTGGGAGTTTTTGCTGTATGTGGATTTGTGCCGTTCTGGTGATGTTTTGAGGAGAAAGTGCGGATTTCCTGACCTGGCGAATTTTGGATAAGACAAAAATGGCGAGACAGTTGGGAAGAGTAGCGTGGTATAGAGACGACTTCGCTCATTGTTGCAGGTAAACCAGTACATTGTTTGGCTGACATGTACATTATTCCTTAGCAACTAGTACGAACATGTCAGGGTATATTTCGTAAAAAAATGACCTATTTTTGTATTAGGGAGAGGCCGTTCCTAATTTTAGATAGGCTTAGAAAAAGTCTTATCAAGTTGCCTCGTTTTCAATGTGTGGTGCGCTTGTAGAGTATATATAAAATGTATGTGCATTTCTTTTAGTCGGTTGTTAAGCGTTTTGAGGTTATATTTGTTGAAAGAAACCTTTTTCTTTATCTCCACGTGGTTCAAAACACCTGTTGGAATGTGGCTGTGTACATAATCAGTTATTTTTTCCGCAAAAAATTTGCGTAAACAAGATGGGGGCCTCAAAGCTTTAGGGCGCCGAAATGAATACCATACAAAACGTTTGAAAACTAATACTAGAGTTCCACGATCTCATACCTTCGCCAAATGATGTTAGCCTTTATGAATAAGAAATATGCTAATCACCCTGATTGTGCAAATAGGATCCTCAATTGCATGAATTATATCAGTCTGTTGATCATATTCTCCACCAAAAGACAGTCTTATCTTAACAAAGAATGCCATTTTCTCATAAATTATGCAAATGTGGTCCTTATTTGAATAAGTTATGTTTAATTATGTTCACCTTCACTTAACTTTCAAACACCCCAAGTATGAAATTCCAGGCAGTTACCACTACGCAATTATAACATTTTCTCATTAATTATGCAAATTAAGTCTTCATTTGCATAATCAATATTTGCCTGTGTTTCTCTCGTTCTTAATAACATATGTTACAAGCTTGAACTTCCTATCATGGAATGCAGCTGATTTATAGAATTTCCTCATTAATTATGTAAATTACATCAATATTCGTATAATTGTAATATCATTATGTCAAGCATCACTTAAGCTACCTACATACCAAAAATCACGATGATCCATCAATCGGTTCTTGAGTTATCCTCTTTTAAACATTTGTCCTTTAAACCCCCCTGCAGTTCTAGAGCAAGCCGCTAGGGGGCCCAAACTCACGTCACTTCTTTCCCAGCACAAGAGCTACCTACCATCCAAATTTCATCACCATAGCATGTCTGGATCTTGAGATATCAAAACCGGAAGTTCAGCTGCAGTACCATAACAAGCCGCTAGGGGGTCCAAAATCTAATCATTTTGAGGTCTCATCAAGACCTACCCATCTACCAAGTATCAAGACAATCCATCAAGGCCTTCTCAAGTTATCGTGTTGACAGACAGACAGACACACACACACACACACACACACACGAACGCCCCTGAAAACATAACCTTCTTGGCGAAGGTAATAATCATGTCGAGTTGGTCATACTTTCGTTCTTCATTATCATCTGCACCGTATCATGTATAATTTAAAAGCTTGTTCGTTTCCTTTTTAGAGTAATTCAGTAAAGAGTAATGACCAAGCCCAAGTATTTCTGGCGCAAACACTACAGTTGACTATGCTTGAAGGTAGCAATTCCTGTTTTCAAAACATTTTGCGCCGAGTTTTTTCGTATTCCACATGAAGTTTCAGTTGAAGGGGGTTGATTTATTTTATTGTTGTTTCCATCCCCATTTTTATGGTCATTATGTAGAGTTTTCGTGGAGGTTCGAGATATGTGTTTGTTTTAAAGTAAAGATATTCAAGGTGTGTGTGAGCATTGCTAAGTTTTTATTATTTGAGACAAATGTCTAACTTCTAATTTCTCTATATTAGTTAAGTGACGACTGATGCAGTAGTGAGGACTTCTGTCTGAACCTGACTAGACAGACTTGACCAGACCAGATGATTTGATGATTCAAGAGGAATATCAGGTAAGAAAAATTCCAATTCTGCATTTTACCTACCATTTACTTGGTATTATTTGAAACAAGTGTGTAACTTTTAATGTCTGCATAGTTAGGTGGCTGCTGACTTATACAGGAGTGAAAAGACTACTGTCTGAACCTGACAAGACAGATTGGACCAGGTCAGCTGATTTGAAGACCGAAGAGGAATATCAGGTAAGAAAAATCCCAATTCTGCATTTTAACTACAGCTATTTGATGTTATTTGAGGCAAGTGTAACTTCTAATTTCTGTATAGTTAGGTGGCTGCTGACTGATGCAGTAGTGGTGAATTCTTCGTAAACCTGACAAGAGAACATTGGACCAGACCAGGTGATTTGAAGACCAAAGATGACTCTCAGGTGAGAAAAATCTGAATTCTGCATTCAACCTACTATTTACTTTATTTGAGACAAGTGTATAACT